CCCCCCCTCTCTGCCCAGAGCGGCGTCATGGTGCCCCTGGAGATCGTCCTCCTGAAGAAGGTGGGCTCCGGCTTCAGAGGGGTCATCAAGCTGCTGGACTGGTACGAGCGGCCCGACGGCTACCTGATCATCATGGAGCGGCCCGAGCTTGTGAAGGACCTCTTCGACTTCATCACGGAGAAGGGCGCCCTGGACGAGGAGACGGCCCGCGGGTTCTTCCGGCAGGTGCTGGAGGCGGTGCGCCACTGCTACGGCTGCGGCGTGGTGCACCGGGACATCAAGGACGAGAACCTGCTGGTTGACCTCAGGACAGGCGAGCTGAAGCTGATCGACTTCGGCTCGGGGGCCCTCCTCAAGGACACGGTCTATACCGATTTCGACGGTACGTGCCTTCCCCGTGCCTGGGGCAGCCCGGCTGCGCCGGCTTTGGCCAGAGCCCCGCACCCCTCCCGGGGGGATGCCCTCCCTGTAGCTGCCGCTTATCCCGTTTCTGGCGCCTGGCAGTGGCGAGCGGTGCCTCGGATGCAGGGGTTCATATCAGGTCTGTCGGTAATGGAAACCTTTGGACCCGAAGCAGCTTAGGGGTGTTCAGTTGCGTAGGAAAGAAGCGATTCCAGGCAGTGACGCAGCAGTTTATATTTCCCTGTCTTGGAAAAAGCGGGTTTTTTTCCTAGAGGGCGATCTGTTTACATGGAGGCTTTGCCAGTGTCGGATGTTTCCATGTGTGGATATGCAGTTTTTATATGCGGTGCTTTTTTTTTTGCTTTTTTTTTTTTTTAACTGGAAGCGGTAGCTCCCCCCCCTCCCTTTCCGCCGATGTCCTGGAAATCCCGCATTGCAGATTTTAAAGCGATGGGGATAAACACGCTCCCTCGAAATGAGCCGGTACTAGCGTGGGGGCCGGGCTCGGCGCTTTACAGATGGGGAAGGTGAAAATCGCCCTGGGTGTGACAGAAGGGAGTGTTTCCCCCGCCCTTTGAGTGTGACTGATGTAACGGGGGACTCATTCCCCC